TATTTTTAGCTTCCTATCAGCTTGTTAACAATTAATCGCTGGTCAGATTGGTTTTCCACGTTTTTTTTATTTGCAATCGCGATTGTTCTGCTTGTTGAATAATGCCCTTTTCCCAGGCATTGCTGTAAACTACGATCATCTAAGAAGCAATACCTGAAGGGTTAAGAATGACTTGTATACTCATTGGTGAACGTTCACCCGACCACTAATGGAACTCATCTGCCTCTCTCTGCCTGGGGTTCCGGCAGAGGCCCTGACGGCCGTAACAGCTGGTAGTGTAGGCAGTTTGTATTACCGGCAAAGACGAGGGAGACTGGAATAGCCATTTCTGGCCTATTAGCCGTCGTCATACCCAGACCCAAGTGGCGTCCCAACTGAGCCTCTGACTCTGATCCAAGAGGTAGCGAATTCGAGGCTCGGGTGGGACGCCACTACGGTCTGGGTATGACTGGCTGACGACGGCTAGTAAGCCAGAAATTGTCATTCCAGTCTCCCTTGTCTTTGCCGGTAATATTATCTGTCGATGATTTGTATGGCCACATAAACAGGACCCGGTAATAGGACCGTCCAGCCCACTTTGAGGTAGGTGGCCTTGCGGAAAGGGTGAATATATCCGTGTCTTAACACTAATCCTAACGTGAAAATAAACTGTAGCCTTTATCTTAAATTTCACGATACCATAAACATAAACCCTACAGTTAACACGGACCCAAACACTAACCCTTCACATAATCCTGTCCCTAACTCCAGATCTATCTTTTATCCTCACTTTAGTCCCAATTTCTACGGCTTTTGGCGTAAAGCCACGTGTATTTTGGGCGGCTAGTTTTCCTGGGCCTTATTTATGCGACCTTACAAGTCATCCTTACCTTTGAAAGCAGTCAATATTTTTGCCCTAAAGCTTCGTATTTCATGCGCTGTTCAAACATAGGCCGCATTTTTAAGAGCTCTCGGTTACCAATTACTGTTATTTCCACCATTCTAGAAGGTTTTAAATCCCATTTGCCCTTCTTTATAGGTCCGCACCACAGCTCCTGCATCCAGGAGACTTTGCGTTTCGTCTCTGCCCACTCGGACGCACTCCTGACAACTAGCGCCAGCAGCCGCGCCTCTATTCTTATATCTAGCGCCGCGCTGCCTGAAGCCAGTGACACGGACACTAGCGCCCTTTTCCAACCCATCTGCGACTGGCTTAAGGGAGAAGAGTGCATTGTTTCCTTGCTGGTAGTATTGTTGCGGTCTCGCCCTCCGCCCAATCTCTCCGAGTAAGTCTCCCTTCCCGCCGCGTAACTGCCCTCTCAGGTTAACCTCGATTGCTGTGCGACGTTTCAGCCAGTTTTTCTATTTTCAACTCAATCTTCATAGTGCTCTAGGTTGCAGTCATTTTAAGTACCTAGGTTGCTTCTGCTTTCATGGTTAATCCTTCCGCTAATTAATGCGACTAACGGTGCTTCAAATCGTAGTTTCTCGTGCTGTACGTCTAGGGTCTGAGTAACTGTCGACTGCCACACCCTATTGGTTCTGCCATCCGTACCCTTATCTCTACAACTGTCTTGTCAGTAGTAAATTCTTTGTGAGCAAACCGGGCAAATGCTTGATTCAATTTTAATTAAGAAATACAAGGAATGAAACTGTGTTTTCAGCGTTCCTCGTGTTCGGGGTTGTAGTATCAATAATAGTACTGTTTATTGTTGTTTTCCGATCTGGAGTTACTTGGTCGTGGTGAAAATGCGATGAATCCCGTTGGTGCGCATTCAAATCCAACCGAAAAAAATCCATATGGTATTTGAATTTCTTGAGCCTGTGTGCACAGGAGGACAGGTGTCTCACATATGTCTGTTGGGTCGCTGATCACAGTGGACTAGATTCCTATGTGACCTATCAGGCCAATTCAGGGTGCGTAGTCTCGATTGCAATGGGGACAGGTTGGGATTAAGCCTGTGTTGCGGATGGTAGGGTCAGTGGCGATGGTGATGCTTTGCAGAATGACAAAAACATACTCAATGGTGGGGTTAGTGGTGTACTGTGAAATTTAAGGCGGGTTATGTTGCTAATTCACTGAGTCTAGGGGATGTCCAACAAGATCTATCCGTGTCCTGAATGCCAGTTGACATTAAGAACGCAAGGCCAGATATGAGTTTCTTGCTGCTACAGCCTTCTATTGTTCATATTTGGCACCTAGAACAATCTTGACTCTTGGTTTAAACCAAATGGTAGCGATCCTTTCAATCTCTGCTTCTTCTTAATTTCGAATTTGGTTGAATTGGATTTTATCTGCTCTTTAGTATCAGTATCAGTTTATTAAGGGAAAGATGGGCGAACGCCTTTAAGCTCCCTGTTGGTAATTACATGCTAGGAAATATATGGAGACAAAAAAATTGGAAAAAATATCCATTACATGTTCGCAGACGAAAATAGAGCAGTTTTGGGTAGTCCAAATATGTAGTAGTAAAACATGACTACTCGCTTAGCATTTATACGGTGCTTCAATTTATTATTCCTCTCTATCTTCCCTCTAGACCCGATGTTCTTTCTCGCGACCTTCTGTGCACCAAAGCTCTTCGACACGTTTTCGCCATACTGCCCAACCTTTTGCAAACTCTTCAGTCAAACGAACAGCGCACACTTTGCAACGCACCATCCTCGAACATTCGGTTTGTCTCCGCTCTTGTCTCACCGTTGTTCCCCCCTCTCACGATTTCTCTAATCACTTACACCCTTCTTTCCCAACTTTCTATAGGACCCTCTTTGAAAGGTGCTTTTTGGCAACCGGGGAGACTCAACTGCTTAACCTGCTTCTCAGTGCTTGGGTAGCGGCCATCTCAACGGAGGAGAACTTTGTTCAGTTGCAAGTAACATTCTCGAAAAACATGACCACTTCTGTCATCCCCGCCAGCCTCTCTGAATGTTAGTTTTCCTGACAGCTATTTCTCAATTCATTGAACGCATTTTCTTGAGCGGTAGGCATTTTTATGGAAGAAAGAGCGGCCATTGTGGTGGTTCATTGGAAGTTTAAATAGGCCCTAGTCGATGGGATTGGGTCAAGTAATATATTTTATGACCGAGGAATT